ATAGTTGCATATTAAAAGCTGAAACCAAACATAATTCACAGCTATATGCCTCAAAGTCTTGTTCACAGTAGCATCCTAGGGTCAAGTAACACTGGGAATATAGGTTCACATAACAACTGCTGGTTAATATCCATTTGCTACTCTAATTTTGTCCACCCACCTTGCTGCTAGTCATCCCTTCTTCTGTTTCCATTCATCTTTCCCAGCATTATAGACTTCTCCAGAGAACTAGGTCTTTGCATAATGTGTCTAAAATAGGATAACTTGAGCCTGGTCTTATGTGCTTTGAGTGAGAGCTCTAGATTGATTTGTTCTGTGCTGCCTCATCTGGCCAGTGGGGAGAGGGGGGAAAATGTTCCTGGGAGTGATGAGCAAAGAAAGCCGGTAGTATATGCCAAGAGTTAATCTCTCATCCCAGACTAATTTCCTGGCAGCTGTGCAAATGGGGCAAAAGAGTTTGGCTCTTACTAAACCTAGACAAGTCATATATTTTGAATCCTGCAATGCCTAGCGCCCACCACGGGATGGAAACTATAGCATGATGACTACTTGATCTGCTCTGACTTCTGATGCTTCCAAATGACCTCCTGGTAGCTGGAATGCATTTATAGCACTCCAGAGACACCAGGTACCAGCAGCAATGCTATAGGTGATTGGAGGTTGATGGCAGACAACATGTCTGCTGGGCCCGAGCTTCTGAGCAGGGACGCTGGGTGCTAATTCTAGATTTCACAGAAGAAACTACTCTAAGGAAATGTCCCAGAGATGATGCTTTTTCCCAAAGACAACTGGACTTTCTTGGTTGTTCTTTGAAAATGTTATAGACCTGAAGAGAACTGAAGAGACTTCTTGGCTGAGAAGTGAAACATTTTCAAAGAAAAAAAAACCAAGGAAGTCCAGTTGCCTTTTGGAAAAAGCACCTTTGGGACAACTATGAGCCAGATGACTGAGAATCTCCATAGACACTAAAAAAAAATACGTGTTCGGCACTTGAAAAACAAATGATATTTTTAAATCAGGTTTGTTGGAAGGGCAATCTCTGCCTGGTTTTCCCCAACACCAATCTCCCCCAGTCTCCCAGCAAAAGTGCACATCATGTGGCCAGCAGGCTGGAAATGAAGCCCTATTTGTTTTAAAAAGACAAAGATGCATATAACAAATGAGGATGCTTGTGATTTATTTTCTTCTTCCTTGCTCTACATGGCTGACTAAATCAGTCAGAGGAGGTTTTGTTTAGGTATGTAAGAGCAAGGTAATTGTTTAAATAATGGAACTTAGCCCAAATTATGATTTAGTGAATGCAGCGCTATTTCAGTTTCACCTACGTGGGACAAATAGATGATAAATTAAATAGATTAATATTAGACCAACAATCAAGAAGCAAACATTATCCCAATCAAGGAGCCATCAACTCAGACAAGCAAGCTAACAGTAAATAGCACCCTAATCAAGGAACCACCAAAAAAACACTCCCACTGACCTTGACAGGGCAAGCCATTATTATATAAAAAGTAAGCAAACCCTGCTCCTTTCTAGCACTGATGATGTCACCTAGTTTGATAATAAAACATCTGAAGAAAACCACCAAGTTCAGAGAGCGCCAAGAACCCCATAGATGATACAGATGCTGTATCCAATCTGGCTTCCCAGTTTATCTTCTGAAACATCCCTGGTTGCCCTTTTTGCTGATTTTTATGAAGAACTACATAAAAAAGAATATGTTCTTGTTGGTACACTGATTTATGAGTAGCATTTGATAACATCAAATATGGCATTATTTAGGACTACTTGTGTAGGACAGATTTGGGGATGCTAAATTACAGTGATTCAAATTGTCCCTTAGAATCAGTTTGAGAAAGATGTTTGATGCCTTGGCTTTTTGTTTATTGCACCTTGTGAGCATTTGTTTTATTCTCTATTTTTATCTATATAAAATATCAGGGATTGAGGATGCATTCCTATTAATCTTCCTATGTAGCATGGAAGACTATTTCTCTTTTACTTCCACGACTAAAAAAAAAAACCAAACATTGTTCAGATTTTGAAACACTGCTTGAAAGTATCAACAGAGATATAAACCAGGTAAGATAGAGGAGACATAGACATCTGGTATAAATCACAATGACACTACAATGTGCATTTCCCTCACCCCTTGACACTGAGATGAACTGGGATGCTCTATCAATTTCTAGAATGCATTTTATAATTGAAGTTAAATATTGTAAGCTGTTCTGAATGGTATATAAGCACTAGAAGGAAGATATAAATATTCATATAATACATAAATCTGCATTCACCCCATCATGGAGAATGAAGAAATGCAAATTGTAGTTCCAAATGATTGTATTTATGTCTGCTAGTGTCATTTTTCTGTCATTTGCAGCTTTACTCCATATAGTATATGATAACAAGAGGAATGCCTTCATGGAATTTTTCCCCTGCTTAAATAGATAAATGTTTCTATTTCTAGGGGAGAAAGCATACATTATAGAAGAGTGTCCATCCAAATGATTTGTTTTACTGGCTGTATGTATGAGTCATAATCTTATCTCTGGGGGAAAAAAAATCCCCAGGAAACATTGACAGAATCACTGAGCCTCAGTTTTTTTGAAGCCCTAACTTTCCATTTTATCAAGAGTTTAATTAATATGGCAAAATGACATTAATCTTGATGCTCGCTGAAGCAGCAGGAGTGAGTGTTGCCTTTCCAAAATAATTAAACTGTATTAGCAAGAAATGAAAGGAGGGAATCTAACTTGAGTAATTATATAAATCCTTCTCCTGAATTCTCAGTAAATAAATTAAGGGCTCTTTGATGAAGTTGTTTTAGGCATAACTTGACAGGAAAGGTGACTAAATTCTGTCTATCCTTCAAGAACTGGGAAGAAAGATTAAAAAAATAAAGCTGGCACACAAAAAATTGTTTGGCTCCCTCTTTCAGTTCACTCATTTTGATTCCTCCAGTCTACAATTATAAGAAGATTTCTCTTCAGCATTCTATTCATTCTCCACATTCAAAGATTAGTAAAAGATTTGATGTTTGGAAACTCCTAAAGGCAGGCTTTATGTAACATACTACTGAGAGGTTGAGTGCTTTAATTACAAGTTGCTCACTACCATTCTTCACTTATGGATGGATGACATTGGTAAAGTTATAGCCTGCTTGTATAAACAAGCAGCAAGGAAGGCTGATAACAGCAAAAGCAGTCAGTTTTTCCTTGGATTTTAAAGAAATGAGTTACTTCATGTTTGCAATTCTGCATGGAGTATTTCTGCGCAGGTTTCAATTCAAAATGCTTTAGGAAAAGTTAACTAGAGGTGTATAGTCTTCCAGCATTCTGCATGCTTTGAAAATGATTTGGAGCAGACATGTCAAACTCGCGACGTCACGTGATGTCACACGACGTATCGGGACTGTTTTGCCATTGTCGGCAATGGGGTGGGCGTGGCTTCTGCGTGATGCATCCAGCCCGCGGGCCACCAGTTTGACATCCCTGAAATTTTGGAGGAACAGCTTTAGAACTTGCATTTGCCCTGCAGTTCTTTGCAATTCATTAAAGCAGACCTTTTTCCAGGTGTCTGCATAAGCTTAAAAGAGATCTAGTTGTTCAACCCATTATATTTAATGTGACTCCTAAAGCAGCCATATATTTCTTCACACTCTCCAGAAAACTGAAAAAGAATGAGGTGCTTTAGAAAAAAACGGATTTTTTTTCCTTGCATAATATTGGAAGAACTTCAAGTTCATTCTCAAAGCATGTAAAATACTGGTAAAGATCCATCAAATGCCAACAGTATGCTTGTTGTTTCATCTAGAAGGACTAGATCGAATATCCTTAGGCAGGAGTAGAGCATCTGTAGCATCTCAGATATTGCTAAACAACTTTACCTATGGTGGCTGAGAATTTAGTAACATTTGAAAGCCAGATGTTTCTCTGAATTTGTTACAGGATAGATTTCAGCTGAACAGTAGGAGAAACATTTTGATAGTAAATAAGAATTCAATAATTGAATTAGTTACATGAGAGGTAGGAACTTGTGAATTTGCAAATGTTCTTGCCTTTTAATTCTGCATCAAGTGAAAGGTTGGTCTCAATGCCCTAGAACACGGGTGTCAAAGTTGCTATGCCACATGGCATGTTGTGATGTATCACAACTTTTTTTTGCATTGCAGAACTGGGGTGGGCGCAGCCTCCATATGATGCAGCCAACCCACAGGCTGGCAGTTTGACACCCCTGTCCTAGAAGTTTTCCCTTTAATTCTACAACTCACTTTCTTCAGTTCCAGACTGTATTCCTTGAAAAAAATAGAATCGTTTTCAAATACTAAGTTGTTTCAATACTGATGTAGCAGTTTTTGAACCCTTCTAATTTGGAACCTACATACTATATAAAATAACAGTCACTGTATTTCTACAGGGCTTAAAACAGAAAACCAATTGTCTTTTCTAACTTAAAAGCAGTCATTGATTCTGGACTGCGAGTTCCAGTTTTGATGGGAAAATCTAAGTAATCATTTGCTTAATCAACGGTTATCCCATCCTGGTGAAATATTCTGCTCCCCAAAATCCACATGGCCCCCACACTGTCTTTTCAAAGAACCACAAAGATCTGGTTTCTGGAGAGCCAAGGTATGAATTATTTTAATTATTTAATTATTTAAATCCTCATATGTAGTTTTGTCAGAACTCTCTGCTATGACCTGTCCGTCTTGGGTGGCCCTGCACGGCATAGCTTATAGCTTCATTGAGTTACACAAGCCCCTTCGCCACGATAAGGCAGTAATCCACGACAAGGCAGTCATTCCTTGTGCTTCTACTAATATTGTTACTCTACAGATACGTATTGGGCTATAAACAAAATAGCTGATGAAGTATGAATAGTTTCTTATATTTTTCCTGATATAATAAAATGATTATGATGTTGCATTAAAATATATTGACAAATTAATTATCTAGTTCAGTTCTACAGCTCTGATACTCCAAGTGAAAGAAAGGTACCTGTTCTAGATGCCTTTGTGCAGATTCGTCCATTCCCATTTAGACCAACTGGACATCGGCCACAGAAGTATCCAGTCTTTGGAGGTTTGCGGTCAATACACAATACTCCAGGAAAACAAGGTCTATTAGCACAGTTAGTAAGAGATGGTAGAACTCCTGCATGACCTGAAGGAATATCCAAGACCATTCCTAATATTAAGCTATTAATTATAAAAAAATAATTTAAAAATAAAACAGGGAGCAAATATCAACCCTGGCTAATCCTTTTATTCTTTCAAAATGTAATTAATGGTAGATGCCCCCAAACTGTGTGCCAAATATAAGAAAACCCTAAAGGTACCACGTATCAAACCAGCTGTTTCTCATTAAGGCAAGATTTATTAGCCCTCTAATTACATGGTGTAAAGTTTAGAATTCAAAAGCGTGTGGCATTTATCAGGGATGAAGTTGACTTTTCTTCACTGCTAGGAACACCTAGGTGGAGAAATTTCATTAGTCAGGGGGCAAACTACATATTTCTCTGCAGGATTATATAATGAAGCCCCAGAGGCTTCCTCTCCTTTGTGAGGCATCTACTGGAAGAATTGTTTGGCAATAGAGAAGAAAGAATAGAGGAAGTCATGCTAACTCAACTCCTTCTTGCCTGATGCATTCTCCTTTAAATTCACTCACTCTGCTTTTATTGTAAAGTGTGGCTGTGGCATAGAATGCATTAACCCGTACTATAATTTGTTTGCCTTTTACTTTATATGTTGTTTGTACCTTGACTTTATGATGTATAAATAAAGGGTATGGCTTAGTGTCATGCAGAACTATCCAAATATGATTTATTAATTAAATCAAAGTTAACCAAACCATGACCTAGTAATTGTGTGAATCCAACCAGTGAGTCAGAGGAAAAAATGCTATCAGGATAAAATACTATTTATTTTCCTTCTTTTCCCATTTCAGTGGCTAATTTACAAAAAAGAAGAATTCATTGGGGCTTTATTATATGCAGATAATTACTCGGTTCATACACTGTGTTCAATTATGAATACGCCCACAACTGACCGGATTCATAAATCCTCTTAAACCATAAAATAGCTTACAAACTTAATTACTGGGTTCATACAATAAAAAAGCAAGTAAGTTGCACATTTGTTTACTGCAATGTGCAAAGCCAGCCAGTGTAAGATGTACTGTACATCGTCTCGCATACAACTGTTTTTGAACAGACTACTTTCTGGGAAATAAAAATGGGAAAATGATGTTGTTCTGCTGGAAAGTTTTCTAAATATTTTCTATTGTTCATAGTTGGAAACTAGACACCGCACTTTGTTTAACCCAGAAGAGTACTATTTATTACTCCAAAGAAGAAAGGAGAGGTATGCCCTATGACTCCAAAGCAAAGACTAAGGCAAAAACTCAAACCACTGACTATGGGACTCTAGTGCAATTTCTTTTTCCTAATTGAGTTCTATACTAAATATTTTATATTTCTTTGGTTAGTAGATATAATCAATCTAATAAGATGGGCACATGCTAAGTGGAGCTGAGTCAGGCAGGAATCTGCTCATTGCACAGCATCAACATTGCATTTTCTCAAAGAACTCTTTAGGAACCATGGTCAAAACTAATTGTCTGCTCTCTAACATAAGCTCTATCCATCTAAGCTCTAAAGTACAAACTTTCTTTATTTTTGTGCTATATTCAAACTCTCTCTGTTTAAGCTGATATGCAGTGGCTGCTTAGAAGAATAGTTTCACATAAGAGCTGACAGCTTGGAGCAGAACTCTTTGACATCCATCTAATTAGACTATACTTACCATGGATCTTGCTGGTATTAACATACTTAATTGCCGACAAAGTCCTTGCTTCTTGGCCTTTCTCAAGCTGTTCACTTTCACTTGTTTTCCATTCACCTTTGATGTTATGATTATTAGTAATGAAGGCTTCTATTCTGCCAGCAAAGTCTTCAGCTGCAATGATAGAGAATGAAGGTGAAAAAGGCACTGCATTTGGTTTTACTGTATTATTGATAGTGGTGAATGCTAACATCATATCACATTATCCTCCAGGTTATTTATGCCCCAAGACAAAGAGATTGAATGAGTTAGCATCTGGGATTTCATTAGAACAGGATCTCATTTAATATCCACATATAGTGGAGGATCCAGAAGTAGAGGCAGACAATTCAAATGGCTTATAAAATAGTGGCATGTGTACAGCTGGAGCAACAAATAACACATTCGCTTGACCAATTCTAAAAGAAAATCTTGGTGGCTTGACTCCATCTGCCTACCTATGGACAATTGCCAAGCTATACCACACCAACTCCGGGCAGCAGCTGGCTCAAGAAGAGTACATTGGATACTGTTGCTTAAAGTGTTCAAAGAAGTAAATCAACTAAATTGTCCATCGGGGACCATTTAAAATATTAATTTCCTCCAGTAAGTTACAGAATGAATATTCCACTTGGACCCATGTTTCAAAGCAATTAGCTACTGGCTAGCTTTATTGGAAAGATATGTGTGATTATTTTAAGTCAAATGGAAGAAACTGTCAGTCCTGGTCATGTACTATACTTGAATTAATAAAAGCTTTCAAGAACCCTGGGTAAATTATAGAAAGAGGAGGAGATTCACTGTATGTAATTTACATAACGTATCTTACATAGGCAAAATAATTTCAATATTTTTCCCCATTCTGGCATGATGTGCTTGTTATTTCTTCAGTAAATCATTCAAGTTGTTACACAACATTATGAGTTGAAGAGCAGTTTTTAGATTAATCCCATCCTCAGGAAAGTTCAGATCAGAATGAACTACCAACCATAGCAGAAAAACCACTACAATCTGATGAACAAAGACATGTAATTCTGATGCTATTGTGCTAAATCAAATCAAATTCTTGGGTGGGAAATATTGATTTTATAGCTCAATGCCTATTTTCTAGCAACAGAACACAAGACCACATTCTCTTCTAATATCACTGCTTTGGAACCCTTAGCTACTGAAGTGTATATATTTCAGTGTTGTGTTGTATTCATATTCTGCAGTCCTTGACTGATGAAAAGTTAATTATCTTTATTTAAGACTGGTGCCACCAAGTACAGGGGTATGTTAATCTTTGGAACATATTTGGAATTTTGAGACTTTATGGCAGCTGCAGAGTTATCATGGGAATTTGCTAATGGACAACACAGCTACTATTCATGGACATGGTGAATCACTAAAGAAAGGCAGGTTAGTCTTTCAGATGCTATCTAGAATCTTAATGGAGCTTTGGTAAAGACTTCTTAAGACTTTCCGGTAAATAAATATGATGCTACTGGTGCTTTGCTTTGGCAATTTTCTTTTAATATATTTTGTTTTAAAAAGAGTCTCTTCAAAAATCAGTTATGACAGGTCTGGTGGACAGTAATTCCTCAGCCCATAAGTTCTACATTCTTTATCTCCAACTTAACAAGGACAACATTGTCTTTTTAAGTGAAAAAAAATGACAATATAGCATTGGATATGTCAGATAGAGCATAGAAGTGGATTGGGAACCTTTCTACTTTTCCTGTAGCTTCATGACTTTCTAGCCTGCTATATAGTTTGCATAAAGGGAGGAAGTGTTGTTTAAATCAAAATGAGTTGATTGGTTGATTAAGTGTAAGAGGATCTTTTCCCAACTTTAAGCCAGGCATATAGAAGCAGGTATGGATCTCATACATCATATTTTAGAGAACTAACTTTTTTTTCTTTCCCAATGTCACTGAACGTTAGCTATGAAAAAAGAATTTTGCAACCAATAACCACATTCATAAAGTAATTTAAATGAGTAGTGTACAACTGCTGTATCAGATGAAGCATTTTAAAATCCTGAGAGTGTGCAAATAAACAGCCACATTTTGGCTAAGGGCAGGATTTTACTTAGGCCTTAACTGAATCTTCCTTTCTCCAGTCATGCTTAACAGAATTAATTCACTCAAGAGCACCAAAAACACTTCAAGGCAACCACAAATGTCCTGAAACAAGGCAAAGAGACTAGAAAACAGTTTCTATAAGGTAAAACTGTAAACCAAGGGAAGATTGAATCAATATTACAACAGACTGTTCATGTTTTTAAGAATTTTTCAGCTCTAAGTCATCATTTTTTTGTCTCCATACATAACGTGTTGTTTGCATAATGAACGAAAAGAAGAGGAGCAGGAATGCTCTTGGATAGTTCATTTAATTGTTTTCCACACTGAAGGTTAATAGTCAGGTATACATGAACAGAAAAACCAGGGAGTCAGGTGATTACATCCTCAGGAGCATTCATAAATTATTTTATGCATAATGAAGTAAACGATTTATTGAACTTCCTCTGCAACACTAACTTGGGATTCTCTAGGCATTTCTTTCCTTAAGGATGGGGTTAATCTAAAAAGTGCTGTTCAACTCACAAAATTATTTAACAATTTTTATTGATTTACTGAAGAAATAATAAACTTGTATTTAAGAGAAGCAACAATTAAAAACAAGAATAATGTAAAGCAATCACGTTTAAAGTTTGGAGAGACTTTGAAAGACTCTAGAAGAAAACTTAGACAATATATTCAGAAATATATTTTAATAAAAGAATGTGGGAAGGATAATATTATGGCATCATTACCCAAGTTTAAGTTAACCAGCTAAATAATATGCTGGCTCAGGAATTCTGGGAATTGAAGTCCACGAGTCATAAAAGAGCCAAGGTTGCCTACCCCTGGGCTACACCAATGTTCTACTAACAGACTTCTACATAGAGACTAGGTCTTAGCCTTTCTGTGTTTTGGTCGGTTCCCATTTCAGGAACAGGATGACTGGAGGAGAATGCAAATGAATGTTAGGTTCAGTAAATTGCTACTTATGTGCCATGTCTACATTTTCTCATGCCTCTCAGTGAAGGCATTAAATGTTCTTTGTATGCATAATCATATTGTAGACAAGTGGATAGTGTTACTCGATATAGAATATAACATACTGAAAATCTCTATTGTTTAGACAACTTATCAGGATAGCAGCATTATAGTTTTCATGCTATAAACATAAAAATATGTTTCATAAGCAAAACACATTTTGGGCAAAGTGTGTGGTTATCATGCCATATTATCTACTTCATTTCTGCAGTAGAATATCCTGGGCAAATAAGACAAATGAACATGCATGCACATTCAAATATGCCTTGATTAATGCCAGTCCAGCATTTATCTTATTTTCAATTCAGTTCAAATTATATTATACACTTTTCTTATTCAGCAAATTTTAATTAAAAAAAACCTCCCTCTTTTTCTAGATGCATTTAAATATATCAGAGGTAATCCACATATATATTTGAACAAAGACACAAATACGAGGGCAATTCGGAAATAAACCTCCATTTGGTTATCAATGACAGACACTCGCAGTTACATAACTTTTATTATATACATTAGAAAACTACATTACATTACCTTTTGACGGTGTTTTGTAAAAAAAAAAAAAGGTGCTGGAACTCACACACGTCATACAACCTGCCTTGCCTACCCTACAAAGTTCCATCCAAAAAAGGTGCCGGAACTCCATTTTGGGCGTTCTATGACAAAAAAAGCCCTGCCTTTTGACATAATTGCCATTCAAATTGAGGCACTTGTCATAACGTCTTAAAGGGTTTGAAATTCCTTAGTAGTAGTCACTCGGTGCCAAATCTGGGCTATGTGGTGGTGATCAAAAACTTCCCAACAGAACTGTTTCAAAAGTTCTTGGGTGCATCTTAGCGGTGTGCAGGTGAGTAATACTGTGAATCAATGCCAAATCAGAAGTGGTGCCATAGAAAATCCCGCCAAATGTGAAAATGCCAAAGGAGTACTGCTAGTGAAGTTCATGGAGCGTGGTTCGACCATCAATTCAGATATCTATTGTGAAACATTATGAAAATGCAGAAAAACCATCCATAACAAGCATCAGGGCATGCTAACTTTGAGTGCGATGTTGGTTCACAATAATGCTCACCTCCATTATTTTGATCACCCCCTCAGCCCAGATTTGGCAATGAGCGACTACTACTAAGAAATTTCAAGCTTGTAAGACTTTATGACAAATGCCTCAATTTGAATGACGATTATGTCAAAAAGTAATGTAATGTTGTAGTTTTCGAATGTGTATAATCAAAGTTCTGTAACTGCGAGTGTCTTGTCAATGATAACCAAATGGAGATTTATTTCCGAATTGCCCTGGTATTATACTGTTTTGGCTCATAAAATTTATTTTTGGGTTGAGCCCATTACAATTGTTTCCTTAATTATTGTAAGATCAATAACAAAATACTCACACTTGCAATTTCTACCATCACCTTTCATCCCAATAGGGCAGCTGCCACATTCAAAAGACCCCATGGTATTTGTGCAGGAGACATCAGGAAAACAAGCATTTGCTTCACATTCATTTATATCCTCTTGACAAGTATGCCCTATGGCAAAAATAAAGCTTAGGTTAATAAATAGAAAGATGTTGCTTCTGCTGTTTAATCCTTTGCTTAAATCTTCATATACATTAGGTAGACTTCCCAGAAGTAGAATTGGTGAAGATGTCGGTCATTTGTCATTGAAACCCCCAACAGATTCACCTGATGTTGTAGTTGTCTAGTGCCATTAGTGTACTACTTCCCCAAATGTAGAACTGTGAATGTTAGCCACACCAATAAAGCTAATATACTCCTGAAACTATGTTTCATTTTCACCCCTCCAGGTATATAACATTTGTGCTGAAAACACTATTAGGAATTGTGTAATTGTGGGCTACAAATTAGTCAGGTTTTAATATATGTTTGATTGAAAGAAACAGCTGATAAAGCTTTCCATCATGTGAGCTGTAGAAAACTATGTATGAACTACAGATCAAACACTTATAAGAAAGACAGAAAGCAGTTTATTTATTTATTTATTTATTGTTAAAAGAGATAACTACCCATCTCACCAGAAGTGACTTAGGGCAGCAAATAACAAGTAAAACCACAATCTTAAAAAAATCATTATAAAAACAATAATTATAAAAATATAATTAGTAAAAGTTAAAGAATAATTAAAATGTGAAAGTATTATCTTTGGAAACAGTTATGTGAAACTATTTTCCTAAGCAGTCACTGCATATCAACCTAAACAGGAAGAGTTTGAACACAGCGTATAAATAACTTTCAAAGAAAATTTCTACTGTAGAGCTTAGCTAGGGGTATTTTATGTCTGAAGGCAGAGAAAAGTATAGCAACCACATATTATACATAGTAAAACCTTAAAATATTGCTGATTGTCTGTGACCCCCAAGACAGATGACATAAACTCAGTGGTGGGATTCAGATAGCTTGCATCACTTCGGCAGAACCGGTAATTAATTCTTTGTTGTCCAGGCCCAGAATGGCATCCACACAGAAGCAGCATCCACACAGAGAACCGGTCGTTCACATATTTGAATCCCACCACTGCATAAACTGGTCTCAAGGCTCTTCCTAAACATTAACAGGGATGGAGCTAGCCTAACTTGGGGGGTGGGGGGAGAGCACCAAGGCAGGGAAGGTCCCTGGCAGATCTTACCCCCATGTAGAGTGGTTTATACAGTAGTCCAAGCTGGAGGTGACTAGGGCCAAGAAGCTTTTATAATGGAAGTGCTTTTCTTAAAAAAAAAAAAAAAAAGATCACTTGGATTTCACTTGATTTAGCAATGTAAGATAGAGGATTGATTTTGCTCTAAGGGCTTCTTCAGATTGTCAGGTTGTCCTATCAACAATGTGAGCTAGCCACTGTTTTTGGATGGTAGGCATGGACAACATTACCATGTATTCATATATCACATTGATTACTTTGCAGAGGCAGAGGCTTACCTCAAATGACTGATTAGGTTACCATGATCCTAATCTTCTAAACCACCTCCATCGATAGTTTTGCAGTAGTAGTGTAGTAGATAGAATAGTTGCTTAGTATAGAGCAGGGCTAGGCAACCTTGGCTCTTTTATGACTCGTGGACTTAAACTCCCAGAATTCCTGAGACAGCCAAGCTGGCTCAGGAATTCTGAGAGTTGAAGTCCACGAGTCATAAAAGAACCAAGGTTGCCTACCCCTGGTATAGAAAATATTTCTAGTTTCACACAAGGCATGTGTGTGAATGTGTGTATGTATGTGTTTTTCTTTACACAATATACTTTTTTACTTAAAAAAAAAGTCCAGCAATGTACTATGTCATAATTACTTTGTCAGCATTCTGTGCTTTTAAAAAATATTTCTATTTTTTAAACAATGAAGTTAGAAAAAGAAACTGACTTCACCAAAAGATTTTTTGTGATTATAGAGGTAGTCCTCAGTTTATAAGTATTCATTTAGCAATTGTTCGAAATTACGATGGAATTAAAAAAGAGACTTATGACTGGTCCTCGCACTTATGACCATCACAATAATTTAAATCACGTGGTATAAATTTAGGCACTTGGCAACTGGCATGAGTTTGTGACAATTATATTTCTTATAATTATCATTATTGCCAATGTTAAATTTAATATATATTCCACTGTTTGAAAACCATTGATTCTTACAAGTAGAGAGAGTTCATTATTGTTCTCCTTCTTCTAACTTTGAGCATATTCTATTTGCATTTCCCTTTCTTTATGTTAAAACATACTCTGAACAATTACTGAACAGATTGCTTCTTCAGTGAGGGACAGTGAAATAATTAAGACGACTGAAGGAATATGAAAATATCTTTCTAGCCCATCAAATATTTTTCTACAGAGCTTGGTATCTCAAGACAGACTATTATATTACATTTTCAAGTCCAGTGGGGACTCAGGCCAAATATCAATTTTTCCTGTGATAAACATTAAACAACCAAATGAACAGCATAAGCCGCATTCTAAGTTGTAGGCAAATATTAGGAAAAACAGCATGTACAGAGTGGAAAGGACTGCCTTGTTCTTTACAATGTGGAATATTTCTGGGTAGAAAATATTTGAAGAGGAAGACTTATTGAGACATCCACTTTATGTCTAACTTCATTAAATGAAAAAGGAATCTTTTTTCCATCTTTGGTGAGTAAAAATCTTAGAAACGATGGATGAATTTAGTCTAGTACTAAAAGAATCTCTTCAATTTTATCTATTATCTCCCACAATATTTTTGCTAAAAGATAAGTCAAAGAACTTTGGGCTTTTAGTCTAAAAGGAAGTTTTAATAATGTTCTCAGAAGACAAGAAGATATTAAAAAACATCAAAAGTTTACTGAACGTTATTAGGAAGAGCAGAAAATGATAGCAAGCCAGGACATATGAGTACGTGCACCACTATTTAACCTTGAAGGCAGCAAGAATGTATGAAGGAATGCTTGATTAAGGGAAACAAGTTTAACCCCCCCCCCAAAATATACAGGTACCCAACTTTAGAGTCTTTAGGAAACAAGATTATGAAATGCAGATATGCTAAAACAGGTACTGAAACAGACGATTCAGTATAGGAAAATGTGAATAACAGAACTCATTGATATCATGCTTCTAACATTTAATTTAGGAATCCAAAATATTTATAACAATAGGAAAAAAATTGGATGCCAGCACCATTTTCTGGATGCAGCTGGGCAGCTAAAAAAAATCAGTGTGTATACAGTACTACTAGGTAGAAAACTGTAAAAGTGTTCAAGATTCTTAGTACAGATGATTAGAGTGGTCCCGAGTGTTGAAGTGAAGGTCTTAAATGTTGAATTAATCCATCCTCCTTATTTTTGGTTCCCAGCCCTTCCAAACATAGATACCGATACACACAGAGAAGTTGCAAGTCAGTAATAAAAATGAAGCACTCTGGCCACAGAAAAGTTAATCATAGGAAAATAATTTATATATGTAGTATAATTCAAAAAACCACAGTCTTAGCAAGGATTCTCTTTATTGTCCCATGTGATTGTTTCATTAAAAAATAAATTGAGATAAATCTCCAGGATACTTACTTGTTATCTGTCCATGTTATCATCCTTTTGCTGGAACATACATCCAACTGTTTATGTTAACACATTTTTAGATTTGATGCAAGTAAATAATGACAACTAGTCACTAACTCCCCTTTATGGATTACTGCCTTGTCGTGGCGAAGGGGCTTGCGTAACTCAATGAAGCTATAAGCTATGCCGTGCAGGGCCACCCAAGATGGACAGGTTATAGCAGAGAGTTCTGACAAAATGTGATCCACTGGAGAAGGAAATGGCAAACCACTCCAGTATCTTTGCCATGAAAACCCCATGGACAGTACTAAAAGGCAAAAAGATATGACGCTGGAAGATGAGCCCCTCAGGTTGGAAGGTGTCCAATATGCTACTGGGGAAGAGCAGAGGGCTAGTACTAGTAGCGCCAGAAAGAATGAAGCGACTGGGCCAAAGCCGAAAGGACGCTCAGCTGTGGATATATCTGGTGGTGAAAGGAAAGTCCGATGCTGTAAAGATTTTTTCTCCATAGGAACCTGGAATGTAAGATCCATGAATCAAGGCAAGCTAGACGTAGTCAAAAAAGAGATGACAAGACTGAACATCGACATCTTAGGAATCAGCGAACTAAAATGGACAGGAATGGGTGAATTTAACTCAGATGACCATCAGGTATACTACTGTGGGCAAGAATCCCTCAGAAGAAATGGAGTAGCCTTCATAGTCAATAAAAGAATAGGAAAAGCAATACTGGGATACAATCCCCAAAATGACAGAATGATCTCAATTCGAATCCAAGGCAAACCATTCAATATCACAGTAGTCCAAATCTATGCCCCAACCACTGGTGCTGAAGAGGATGAAATTGACCGGTTCTATGAAGCCCTACAGCACCTTATAGAATTAACACCAAAAAATGATGTCCTTATCATCATGGGGGATTGGAATGCTAAGGTAGGAAGCCAAAAGATAACCGGAATAACAGGCAAGTTTGGCCTTGGAGTACAAAATGAAGCAGGGCACAGGCTGATAGAATTTTGTCAAGAGAATACGATGGTCATAACAAACACTCTTTTCCAACAACCCAAGAGACGGCTCTACACATGGACATCACCAGACGGTCAACATAGAAATCAGATTGACTATGTGCTCTGCAGCCAAAGATGGAGAAGCTCTATACAGTCAGTAAAAACAAGACCAGGAGCTGACTGTGGCTCAGATCATGAGCTTCTCGTTGCAAAATTTAGGCTTAAATTGAAAAAAGTAGGGAAAAGCACTAGGCCACTCAGGTATGAACTAAATCATATTCCTGATGAATATACAGTAGAGGTGACAAATAGATTTAAGGAATTAGATCTGATAGACAGAGTGCCTGAAGAACTATGGATGGAAGTTCGCAACATTGTACAAGAGGTAGCAACTAAAACCATCCCAAAGAAAAAGAAATGCAAGAAAGCAAAATGGCTGTCTGAGGAAGCTTTGCAAATAGCTGAGGAAAGAAGGGAAGCGAAAGGCAGGGAGAAAGAGAAAGATACACCCAATTGAATGCAGAATTCCAGAGAATAGCTAGAAGAGATAAGAATGCCTTCTTAAATGAACAGTGCAAAGAAATAGAAGAAAACAACAGAATAGGGAGGACCAGAGATCTCTTCAAGAAAATTGGAGATATGAAGGGAACGTTTCATGCAAAGATGGGCATGATAAAGGACCAAAATGGCAGGGACCTAACAGAGGCAGAAGAGATTAAGAAGAGATGGCAAAACTACACAGAAGAACTATACAAGAATGAGCTTAACATCCCAGATAACCACAATGAGATGGTCACTGACCTCGAACCAGACATCCTAGAATGTGAAGTGAAATGGGCCTTAGAAAATCTGAGCAACAACAAAGCTAGTGGAGGTGACAGTATTCCAGCTGAGCTATTCAAAATCTTAAAAGACGATGCAGTAAAAGTGCTACACTCAATTTGCCAGCAAATTTGGAAAACTCAACAGTGGCCACAAGATTGGAAAAGGTCAGTTTACATTCCAATTCCAAAGAAAGGCAATGCCAAAGAATGTTCAAACTATCATACCATTGCACTCATTTCACATGCTAGTAAAGTTATGCTTAAAATCCTACACGCTAGACTCCAGCAGTATGTGGATTGAGAACTTCCAGAAGTACAGGCAGTATTTTGAAGAGGCAGAGGAACTAAAGATCAAATTGCCAACATATGCTGGATCATGTAGAAAGCTAGGGAGTTCCAGAAAAACATCTACTTCTGCTTCATTGACTATGCTAAAGCCTTTGATTGTGTGGATCACAACAAATTGTGGCAAGTTCTTAAAGAGATGGGAGTACCAGACCATCTCATTTGTCTCTTGAGAAACTTATATGCTGGTCAAGAAGCAACAGTGAGAACTGGACACGGAACCACTGATTGGTTCAAAATTGGAAAAGGAGTCCGGCAAGGCTGTATACTGTCGCCCTGCCTATTTAACTTATATGCAGAGCACATCATGAGAAAGGCAGGCTAGATGAATCAAAAGTTGGAATTAAGATTGCCGGGAGAAATATCAACAACCTAAGATATGCAGATGATACCACTCTAATGGCAGAAAGTGAAGAGGAACTAAAGAGCCTCTTGATGCGGGTGAAGAAGGAGAGTGCAAAAGTATGCTTGAAACTCAACATTAAGAAAACCAAAATCATGGCATCCGGCCCTCTCAATTCCTGGCAAATAGATGGGGAAGAAATGGAGGTAGTGACAGATTTTATTTTTCTGGGCTCGAAGATCACCTCAGATGGGGACTGCAGCCAAGAAATTAAAAGACGCTTGCTCCTGGTGAGGAAAGCTATGGCAAATCTAAACAGCATTCTAAAAAGCAGAGACATCACCCTGCCAACAAAAGTGCGTATAGTCCAGGCCATGGTTTTCCCAGTTGCAATGTATGGCTGTGAAAGTTGGACCATAAGAAAGGCTGAGCGCAAAAGAATTGAGGCCTTTGAACTATGGTGCTGGAGAAGACTCCTTCGAGTCCCTTGGACTGCAAGGCGTTCAAACCGGTCAGTCCTAGAAGAGATCAACCCCGACTGCTCTTTGGAAGGCCAGATCCTGAAGTTGAAACTCCAGTACTTTGGCCACCTAATGAGAAGGAAGGATTCACTGGAGAAGAGCCTAATGCTGGAAAAGATTGAGGGCAATAGAAGAAGGGGACGACAGAGAATGAGATGGCTGGATGGAGTCACTGAAGCAGTAGGTGAGAACTTAAATGGACTCCAGAAGATGGTAGAGGACAGGAAGACCTGGAGGAACGTTGCCCATGGGGGTCGCGATGGGTCGGACACGACTTCGCAATCAACAACAACAACAACAACAAAGTCACTAACTGTCTATGACCAGCTGTCTAAAATTAGTGTAATTTGGCAATAGGCACATTTCTCTCCCCAACTGTGAAAATGCACATGCTCTTTTGGTCACCGATGCTTTCTCAATCAACATATACCACTGAAGGAATTCAATAAATTGTGTGTGCTTCTCATGAAGTGAAGAAGTGTTTTGATAAACATGGTTCATTGTGAAGCTTATGCTTTACATGTGTTAGTATTTGTGTTTTGCTACTGCCTCCTGTTCAGAAAAGATGGATAGAAACCATATGCTCTAAATAGTTTGAATATTCAGAAATAGATTTGGAATGAGGTCTCAACAGGAGAACCTGTTTATGAAAGTTTAAACCACAAAAGATGAACTCTGGGCCTGCACTTTGTGTAGACATTTCCATCGCTCCCACTCATTTTTTAATCTCTGCCATCTTCTTGTTTCCCCTGTGCACATCTGCAATTACTATCATCCTGTCAGTGACAGCAAAATGGCATTTAGAATGCAGTGGTAGTTTTGCATGCACAACAGTGCTTCCTACACTTTTAGTAATGAGCTTCTCTAGGGATAATATTTAAAGTGATCTCTGAAGAGCAAGTGTTTTGTTACTACTATCTGTTTGCTATCATTTGTAGAGGTGTGATGCCATAATGGTCTTGTCACTTGAGCAATGCAGTGTTACCTGCTCATTAGATTATTGATGGTTTTCTGGGGAATTGAGACAAACACGACTTCAAGAAGCTTTATTGCTGTAACAGAATCTGCCCTGGAGTAAATTCATCTACCTCTCAGCTGGTTTTCAGATCCACTTGCATATAATTTTTCACCTGCTATTAAAATACTGAATGAAATAGGAATGCCTCTCAATCATTTCTTTATTCCTCTCCCCATTTTCCTCATGTTTGCTATTTTCAGCTCAGGAAGCAGCTGCTGAAACAATGAATATTTTATTTAAATGAACTAGAAAAAGGAGAGTAATTGAAGCAGGTGTCTTTCTTTTTCTTAGCAGGCAATATCTTATCACTATGTTCATGTGGATAAAGAAAACAAAATTAGCAGACTAGCATCCAATGAAAATGTCGGAAAGCAATTGCTTAAATTTAAGTTTATCGGGAAATAGTGATGGTTTTTAAAAATACTGCAGTGAAGAACTTCACACAATCTCACAGGATTTGATTTTCATTATACTTTGACTTGAACTAACTGCTTTTAGATTTGTGAATTAGGTGGTACCCAGTTTGGAGCAGAATATTGTGCCAATGTACTATTACCAACCATAGATCTTTGATAACTGCTCTATTACCTCATCAGTCTTGTGTTCTATTTGTGTTGGACGTGTAACCTGACACCCAACACAACCCCAATTTTAGTACCATTTTACTAATTTAGTGTTTCTCCTTCAAAAGAGCATGAGAGTTCTCGGTGGTCCTTACTTACTCCTACTTATCCTAAAGACATTCTGAAGACAAATGAAGATACTGAATTTGAGTCAGCATTGCTCTACCATAGGGGTGTCAAACTGCTGGCTTGCGGGCCGGTTGCATCATATGGAGGCTACTCTGGCAATGCAAAAAAAGTCACGATACATCATGACACATCACATGACATGGCGTGTTTGACACCCATGCTCTACGATATACTATGGAAGATGGAATTTCCACTATTAATGTTTGGCAAAGAATTGGATTTCATAAACCAAACAGATGGCTGTATCTATCTATCTATCTATCTATCTATCTATCTATCTATCTATCTATCTATCTATCTATCTATCTATCCAGGTAGTCCTTGACTTACAACAGTTTGTTTAGTGACCAATTCAAAGTTACAATGGCACTGAAAATGTGAGTTACGACCGTTTTTCACAGTTATAACCTTTGTATCATCCCCATGATCATGTGATCAAAATTCAGATGCTTGGCAACTGGTTCATACTTATGACCGTTGCTGTGTCCCAAAGTCATGTGATCACCTTTTGTGACCTTCTGACAAGCAGAGTCAATGGGGAAGCCAGATTCATTTAACAACCGGGTTACTAACTTAACTGTAGTGATTCACTTAGCAACTGTGGCAAGAAAGGTTGTAAAATGGGGCTAAAACTCACTTAATAACTGTCTCACTTAGAATGGAAATTTTGGGCTCCATTGTGGTCATAAGTCGAGGACTACCTGTATCTCATTGATAGTACTAGAACGGTAGCTTTCCATAAAGTTATAATTGGGTTCACTCATGCTATCACGGTTTGCTTTTCCACAGTTTGTTGAACAAACCACAGTTGAGTAGGTTTATACAGTATTAAACTATAAACATTTGCAAAACACAATATACTGGATTCGCAAAACACACTAACCCAAAATCAAATGCACTATACTATAACTTAGATTGATTAGTAAACGTTTCTTCTTTTTTTCTCTTGAAATAACATCAGCTTATCATTTTTAGGAGTCTTCCATTTACAAACAAATGCTCGCCTTGAAAAAGAAATACGTGTTTTTTTGGGGGGAATAGGGTTCAATGGCTTTATCAAAAGAATATCTCTGCTGTGATAAAATGATGATTCTCAATTTTTATTTTGACCAATACTACATTTATAATCTAATTGTGTCAAAATTAAATAGGAAAAGAGGAAATTCTGGAATGGAATGTGAAACGCTACTCACCTCTCCACCCTGCTGGACATTTGCACTGGTAGCTGTCTATTCCACCAATACAAGAACCAACACCGCATGGATTTGATTTGCAATGAGTATGGCTGTTCTGGCAATGTTCCCCTTCAAATTCACTGGGACACATACACAGATATTCTCCAACACCAGGAGGGAAGTTAATGTTGGTGATGCAAGTTCCACCGTTCAAGCAGCCACAAGGCTTCACTGAAATCTACAAAAGGCAAGAATGTCTTCTATTTAACTGTGCATTTTATTACTTTATAATAAGGCCACTTACTGAGGTTCCTATGTAATGATATGTAAGAGTGATTTGTGACTCAAAATGTAGCAGTAAAAATACATTTATTCCCTGAAAGATACCAGACAAATTTCTCAATATTTGTAGACGACACCGAGAAACAAACCACAAATACGTAAGTGCACAGCTGCTACTTGAAAACTAAAAGTGCTCATCCATCTTTTTTCCTTTCTAATATCTAATAGAACTTTGAACAATCTTCTAATGTTATAATGTTCTTTATCTCCTTCCCTTCTATTATTGGCTGTTAAGAGTCAACAAACATGAAGCATCATGATATAAAGATATCACTGACTTCTAGACATCACAAAGGAAAAAGGACTAATTCTGCATTTGCCATTCTTAAAAGCAACTGGTTACTTAGCATAACGTATAGATTGGTCTTGACTGCTCAATGAATCTAACTCCTAGGGGCTTTGTTGCTAATACCTCCAGGTTCTGCATAAATTTTCTATCTAGTGATCTGAGTTAACATTTATTTTATACAATTCCCTTAGCAATTATCCATGTTAGCCAGCCTCTTTTAGCTGTGAGGTTCTTCCTCCTGTGCACGTGCATTATTACCAAATGCTACTGCAAAATTAATAGAACAGCTTGCTATAAAGACAAAGCAGAAAAGCATGGCCAAGAAACCAATGTTAAGGAGTAATAATATAAGAGGGAAATAACCCCTTTAAAAATATTGTTGCAAATGAATTATAATTTTCCCTTTATGGCTAAAACCTGATCCTTTATGTCATTATGTGTTTTCCATCAAAGATCCACATGCACACAGCATGTTTTAAAGCAGACTAATGAACCATTAGCCAGTTTGCTGTCTGAGAGACCACTTTGCCAGTCAATATAGTCCCCTTTCTGATTCATTGAATACATGGGATTCACTTTCCCTGGGATATTTGTTAGATTAATTGATCATTACTGTCATGAATGATAATATTCACTCACTTGAAAACAGCTGAAGTCTTGGCTTTTTAAAGACAATTATTAACTATTATCGGTGTAACCAAGAGCCTACGGACTAGTTTTTGAAGGATTGTAGATCTCCTTCCTACCTGCACTGAATGTCTGCTTTGTGCATTGCATTCATCGGATACCGTGAATTCAAAACTCTTTTCTTCTCCAGAATGGACCTGCCAGATGAGAAGGCCAGCAGGAGAGAGGGAGGCTCCTGGAGGGCCAGCTTCTAAAGCAAAAAGCACGGCTGATCTCTCAGGATCCACTGCTTGCAGCTGATAAACAAAAGTCTCCCCTGCAAACGTTAAAAGCTGATTGGAGGGGGCCAGGAACACAGGTGGCAGGTTGTCTAAATTAAACATAAAAAACCAGCCAAAATTAGAGGGGGGTATTAGTCTAGGGAGTATTGTTTTATTTAAGAAAAACTGTAAACATTTTATTTCAAATCACAAGCAATTTAACAATTCCAGCTAGTAACTTGGAGGAACACCATCCATACGTAGGAGATTAAGAACATCTGATAAAGTTAATACATTTACTGCTAGTGAGCTTTTCTTCAGAAAAGCTGTATTTTTTTTTCATTCGCTCTCCCTTTTCTAATCAACAAAATCTTAAAGGAATCACAGTTGAAATTAGCCCCTTAAGTGATTATCTAATATGATGCAGAGAGTGGAAATGCATCAACAGGTTTTTCTGGTGGGGAAAAAAACCTCTCATCTTATTTTCATATTGCACAAAGTGATTAACATCTGAATTTGAGTGGGGTGGCTGTGGTGAATGTTAAACTGCAGTTTAAAACACAACAAATAGAAGACCAGTTCTACAGTCATAGTCCTACAAAAACTTCAGTGAGTTTAAATCTATATTTTATATTGTGCTTTTCTACTGGAAACGCCCCGTGTGAATAAAAAAACAATTTTTTTAAAGAAAAGTCAAAATAATCTGTCCTGAAAATAAATTAACAGTTTGCTAAGTTGGAAAAACTTCGCCTTACTCATAAGTAGTTGATGAACATTACTATATCGTGTGGTTTTTGCAGCGGTACTTGTGATCAGTGGTGGATGTGGATTTTCTGTATTATGGTCAACTGTCAAATTAAAGAAAATGAAAACCTCTATGTAACGACAAAGGTCTAAACTGCTTCGCTTTGCAAAAAACAGGATGGCTTTCTCCAAAGATAATAATTTTGCAGCCTGGATAAATATTAAAAATATACTCTATTCGTCCAAGCCAATAATACATTCTCTTGAAGAATGCATTTTTGCATCATAACACCTGATTTTATAAGGCCGAGAGGACTTACTTTTATTAATAGACCAAGTAAATTTAGAAATTGATGGCTCACAAAAAAGACAAGAGCTGGTGAGACTTGGATCACCCTTTGCATAGCACAAGCCATCTATTTTGCATGTATTTTCCTGCCAGGAGGAAAAACAAAAATGAGTGTTAGTCACTTAAAATAGCATATCATATTTATTTATAGAAATCACGGGACAATAATCAATTCAATACATTCCCAAGTGAAAAATCTAAGTGAATCTTCATTTTCTCCTTGAATGTTATATAGATATAGATAACATTCAAGGAGAAAATGAAGACCAATTAGATTATATATATGGCTCCTGGGTTCCCAATGTTTCTTGATTGATTGGTTGGTTAATCCTGCTTTTACCATTTTTACAAACAACTCAAGGCAGTGAACATGTCAGGTAAATGTCATCAAAATGCCTGCACATGGCCTGGAAGGGCCTTCTCTGGTTTTGTGTTCTTTATCATGGCCAGTACAAATATACCCCATCCAATAAGGTAGGTGGGGATCTAAGTGATTTCTTGGCCATCTTTCCTCCCCAAATTAAATGGTTAAAAGAAAAACAGGTTGAAGTTTTCATAAAAATATATATACAATATTCTCATGATTTTTTCATTTTCTCTTTAAATATAAATTTATATAAAAATTCCAAACTGTAGTATTTATCAAGTAATTCCTTTAAATGGGGGGGGGTTGAAACTGGCATAAAAGCCATAGTACTGATATCCTTCTCTACTCAAAGTCCTTGATGAAGGAAAAACAAATTTTGTAAGTTTTGACAGCATTCAGGCACCTATTTATTTGCTTGTGAGTAGTTCTATATCACCCATCTCAAATGACTTCTAGCAGTTTATAGCAGCAGCAAATAATTACTTCTGCTAGGAGAAAAAAAACATGGTTGCTATCACAAAGAATGACTTCAGTGTCTCCAAATATATTGGACTGCAACTCCCATTATCCCTAGGTAGTCTGGGGTAATAGGAGTTCTGATCTAACGCAAAGTGGGGGAAATCCAGCCTGCAGAGAGCCATTTAAATAAACTAGGGGTTGGGGTGGGCAGAGAGGACTGTAATTCTTCAGTACTCTGAATTTTTGAGTTTAACATTTGTTATGGACCGTATGTTAGTTCAAACAATAGAACATGCCTCTAATTGAGAAATGTTCCTTTTGATTCTTTACAACTGTCTTCCTAAGTTGTTATTTCTTAAAAGATCATTATTTGCTCCAGGATTCTTTATTTCTAATTAATCCAGGAGCCTTTCCATTTAAAAAAAAAATATTTATTAAATTTTTATGCTATAAGGTGACTCTGGGCAGCTTCTATGACCACTGAGTGAAGTACATAAAGCAGACACAGACACAGACAACACAGATAGGAGATTATCTAAATCTGTGTAGCAAGTAAGGGTGCCAAAGTACCTACATCAGAGTTCTCCAACCTTTCCTGGCTCATGGCCTGGAGGGGACAGCAGCTTCCAAATTACTGTGTGTGCATAATTTGGAATTTGGAATGGGCCGCGCATACACACACACACACAAACACACACTGCACTAGCGGCCCATTCACACATACACAAATGGGACATGTACCCCCCTACACTAGCGTTCCTGTTCACACCCACATGCATGCACAAACAGGGCCATGGGTGTGAGTGGGGGAATGCACACCCACCCACGCATGTGTGTCCTGGCCAGCCATTTCTGCAGCCCGCTGGCCAAGAGCCCACAGCCCAATACCGGGCTGCAGCCCATAGGTTGGGGACCCCTGAGCTACATAATATTTTTGGGGTACCTACCAGGTCCTGCCTCACCTGTCCTGACCATTTAAATTTTAAAAAGGGAGTAGTTGAAAAGGTTTCAGCATCTTTTTTTGTGTGTGTGTGTGAATGTATCTGGCCTCAAAATGGACCGCATATATTTTTGATTGGTTTAGTTTTTATGATCTACCAATCATAAAATGCCATTGCTTTGTTTGAAACTAAAGGATTCCTGCCTGAAGTAAATTAGTCTAACAACAAACTCTATGTTGAATAAACATTGTAGCTAAACCACTGAACTTAGCAAGTCTAAAGAAAGATACCACATTCTACCCTTGGTTTCAAATTAAACTATGGTAGATTTTTTACTGCAGAAAAGTCAATATAGGGCAGTTCTGAGAGAAATAAATCTAGTCAACCTTGCATGTACAGTATACTCAAAGGCAATAGCTATAGAAGCAATATTTGGAACATTGCCAGTAAATCTGAGCTAACTATTAGGACTCTTGCCACCATGTATTATAAAAGTCAAAAGCTGCTTGATAATGCCTTCCCAGCAAACGTTCTATGTCAATAGGAACTTTTTATTTTACATAAAAGATAATCTTGGAACTTTCATTATTTTTCCATTCCTATTAACTTCCATTTTCAGCACTTAACTGCTACGTTTTGTATGGACATTAAGTAATACATTTTGAAAAACAGGTTTGTATATGATGTGTGGCTTTTCAGCTACTGATGTCAAGAAGCATATAATGTACTATATATATAGTTTTCTAACTGATCAGTAAGCAAATTTGGTTCCCTGAGACTTTTCTAGCCACATCACTCACTTTAGGAAGCTGGAGGGTTAAGAAAAAGATGGATGTTCACTGCTACACCTCTAAGTGTTTTGAAATTACCTTTAATTTGCAAAGCCCATTTTGACAGAATTTGCAATCCTGACAAAGTCCATCATACAAGGTCAGAACTTTTGAATTGCTGTACTGGAATCCATCATTAGAAATCTAAAAAAAATATATGCAAAAATATATCATTTTGTGTGATCCAGTTCCACGTGGACATTGTCTGTATGTTCTAAATACATCCCTGAACTAAATGTCTGCCAAGAAGATAAATTAAACCACTTGTGAGTTACTTTCCAGCAAGCTAATAAATCACTGGATGCAGCACACTGAAAAGCCATTCATTTATTACAAAAATATCTTTTTGCTCAGATCAAATCTGGGGTTTCTGATAACCGTGGGCTTTGTTAAATCTGTTCCTGTAATTTTTTTACTCAGATAGAAACAATTTTGAGCAATAAATCCTATTTCAAACTGACTGCAGTCCATAAAACATTTACCCAAGAGAACGTTTATGGATGTCAACATTATTTTATTGAGATTGCTTCAAAGCAAGACAATTCTGTTGGGTAGATTGTGTCCTCTATTCCACCCAAAATAAATTTCCATTCCTGAGATACTAATTCATTCATAAAATATCACATCTTGAAACAAACATTCTGTAAAATAAGCTTCTCTTACATGTATTTCCTATAGATAGAGGAATAATACATTTAACTGGAGACAGAGTGGTAGATACAAGAAAAAGAATGTTCACCCTGTATTTGGCACAGGACTCAAACCCACAATAGGTAATTATGTAAGTTAATTATCTAAGTTGTATTTGTTCCAAAATATCTAACCACATGCATTGATACATTCTTTATTAGGCACAAAAGATCAGGTATAATTAAACTGATTTATTGCTCCTCATGCCTGTGCACAAGAATATTGTCAACAGTTTATACCTGCTAGGAGTTAGGTAAGTGTCAAATGAATTCAAGGGGGGTTGAACTTAGCTCACTTGTGGCTATATTGAGATTCAAGGCTGATCCCTCTTTTAATTCTACCCCACACCTCTGCCACTCCTTCCCTTACATTGTTTTTTTATTTCCACTATTTCATCTCGTGTCATCATTTGCTATTTTGTTCAAACAATGAAATGATAGTAATGATACTATTATAAGCAATGAACATTATTAGGTAGGCTTTACTTGTTTGTCTCTTGTGAAAACAGATGTGGATACTAAATTCAGATTTCAACATGAAAGGTAGAATTGAATTCTAAACTGTATAACATATTTTACATTTGAAGGCAATAAGTGGAAAAATAAACACTTATTTCACTAAATGGGACTGTATTAAAGCACAGGTAGAGTTAACTTCCACAACTGGAATTGGCAACTCCATCACTAAGTAATGCGTTTGTTCAGTGGTGGGATTCAGCCAGTTCGCACCAGTTTGTTAGAACTGGTAGCTAATATTTTGTTGCCCAGGCCCAGAATGGACTTCCGGAAGCAGCATCCACACAGAGAACTGATTGTTCACATATTTGAATCCCACCACTGCATTTGTTAAGTGAAACATCATGTGACTGTGCTGAGCTTACAATAGTAAATCCACTGTGGTCATTGAACATGATATAGCATGACTATTGAGTTGTAACTTACTGTTGTTTTTTCCATTGACACTATTTGTCATGAGCCAGCTGTGAACTTGTAAATGGTGATCACATAACTGTGGAACATGCAACCATCATAAATTCATACAGGTAACAAGGTGATTGAATTGTGATTATATAATCATGGAGACCCCTTGGCTGTTGCAAGTTTCTGGACTTGTTGCAAAGCTATCTTTTCCAGCACTGTTATAAGTTGAAAGGTTGCTAAACCAGGCAATTAAGCAAGGACTACCTGTAAAGCAGACATGTCAAACTTGCGATGTCACGTGATGTGATGCAACGTATCGGAGTTTTTTCCCCATTGCTGGCAATGGGGTGGGCGTGGTTTCCTGGTGACGTGTCTGGCCCACAGGCCGGCAGTTTGACACCTCTGCTGTAAAGGATTCAGATTTGATAACCTAAGCCTTTTGATTACCTAAGCCTTGGTTCCAATTTACATGGAAGCTGGGACATGACCACTGAAGTAAAGACAAGATTGAAAATCAGGCTTGTCAGATGTTATATTTTTTCTATCCTACTCTATGGAGTAGAGAGTTGGTCTCTGACAGAAGGCCACCTGAAGAGACTAGAAGCATTTGAAATGTGGGTTTACAGGCAGCTATTACGTATAAGCTGGTTTGACAAGATCAGAAATGAGGAGGTGATAAGCCGCCTGGGAAAGCCAAGGGAAATCATCAAAACAACTAAAAAACAAAAGTTAGAATATTTCAGACATGTGATGCGACACCCAGAAAAATACGGCATACTCCATTTAATCCTCCAGGGAAAGATTGAAGGCAAACGAGGTCCAGGCAGAAGAAGAACATCGTGGCTTCAAAATCTAAGGGACTGGTTTGGACAAAACTCAGCAGCACTTTTTCGTGCTGATAAAAACAGGATCACCAACATGATCGCCAACATCCAATAATGAATATGGCACAAGAAGAAAAAGAAGCCTTTTGTATCCCACAAAAATGGGAGGAGATCAAATGCATTTGCAAGCAGAAAATGAACGAGATAGAACCTGCTTTTCACAGAACACATATTTTCTATCATTTCTGCTCAGCCAGAGAATACCTCAAACTTTTTGTTTGTTTTTGTTTGAATTAAATCTACTAGAAATAGCTGTATGACTTTATGTATGTAGCTTGTGCTGTGCGACAAACACAACTGATAAAACTGATGTGCTATGACCTTTCCATTTGTGTCACAGAGTACAGATTATTGTCATCAACTCACCCATTTTGCTAGATCTCACTGTGACCTATTAACTGGAGCATGAAGTTGCCTTTGCAAAATATGTGTTGCGTGAAGCAACGTTTCCCCTAGGTTTTCTAGAATTTATCTATGTTAAGTCACAAATATTCCTCCAAAATTATCCTGGTTTGATACATTTTGTAGGATGATTTTGACTACGATGAAAGAGTCAAAGGTTGGACAATTTTGCTCATGTCAATAAACACATTGCCCTTTAGGGGAAGTAATGCAAGTCTTTCTCTTTTGACCTTAGCAGAAGATTGTCAAGCAGCAGGGGAAGAGCCAATTGCTTTAATTATTATGAATGTTTTATGTAATCCCTTTAACTGTCCTATGATATAACATAATTTACTACGCATATTTTACTCATATTTATCTATTGTTTCGTACTGTGGTCAGTTTGTATGTGCAATGAAATTGGTTGTTTCTAAATAAAACTTTAGAGTGTTCTGCATTGTCTCAGTCCACCCCAGGTGATTGCTGCAAAACCAGATAAGTTGCACTTCAGTAGCATATTGTCAGAAAAATAGGCTTACAGTATGAAAAATGTCTGTTTGCTTCAGACTCTCACCACATAATTTCCTTTCCTTTCCCTAATCAATAGGCTAAGAGTCAAGATGTTTAATTAGAGCTGGCAGAAGGTAGAGGTGTTAAAACTCCCAGCAAGTCCATCTAATTCTGCAATTGCAACTCAATTTATTAGTGCATAATACATTCAATTGGCATTGCACTGAATTTGTTTCCATGTGGGATTATAAGTAGCAAATGTAAATCCTGGCTAGGAGGCTACTTGGAATTAGACCCTATATCCTGCCCTTGATAAGAGTCACTCTCTAATACAGAAGTCAAGGTCCAAGGTAACATTAATGTAGAGGTGATTGCAAACATTTAACATGGAGAATAGGTTGTAATCCCAAGGAAATCAAATTTAAGAATGAAATAAAATTAGTTTAACATTCAACTGTTTTGCAGACAAAAGCAGACTGATCGGTCTTAATGCAATTTTTTTCCTCAATTTCTTTCTTTTATCAACACCCTCAAGACTATTATTTTCTCAATGCAGCTCTAATGATCAAACCAATGAACATAATAATTATTAGAATACTAGCAGCCTCTTTGTAATAAGATATTCAAATATCACTCATTTCTTTTCCTTGTTCTTTTCTTTTTGTTTTTAATTTTGTTTTGTTTCATAACAATGTTGGTGTATTATCACAAAATGGATTGGTATAGCTTTGAAAGCTAACAGGCTATAATAATAAATACACATCTTATTTGTTTATTTGTTGATATATAATGCAAGTCATATGAGTGTGTGTGTATATGTGTGTGTGTGTGTGTGTGTGTGTGTGTGTGTGTGTATGTCTTCTTAACAGTGGTGGGATTCAGCCAGTTTGCACCATTTTGGCAGAACCATAACTAATTTTTTGTTACCCAGGCCCAGAATGGACTTCCAGAAATGGCATCCACACAGAGAACCAGCTGTTCACATATTTGAATCCCACCACTGCTTCTTAACCACATGGGGGTAGATGAGACTAAGAAACAGTGGGTAGACTTGCATTTTTACAGGAGAAACAAATGGGAAAAACTGCTCAAAAAGATAGAACTTGCTTTAAAAAGTTTTATTACAAATGTGTGTGTGGGGGGGGAGCAGTATACAAAACTGACTGGAGCTTTTAAAAGGACACAACACAAAGAAGGTGAAAACAGGGAAAGCTGATCAAGGAAAAAAACAGACAGGTAGCCTAGAACTGTAGAGAGGGCACTAGGAAAGCTAAAGATCAATTAAAATTACAATATATGAGAAAAACACAGAGGCACAAAAGGTGGGGGGGGGATTACCTAACATGCTAATTGCTCAGTGAACTTGTCAGAATAAGTAAAAATAAAAAGCTGCTCAATTTTTTTCTGTCTAAATAATTTCTAGCGAGATGGTTGTTGTTTGCCAGACATTTGTGAAAAGCAGAATGAAAGAACTGAATTTGAGATTGATAGACACATGGTTATGGGATTTATATTTTAAATAGGATCAAAATTTTATGTCCAGTTGAATTGCATCCAAATGTAGAGAAGGAAATTCCTGAAGGTCTAGTGAACTTTTGCACATTAACTTTGAAAAATATGAGAGAATTGCTGAAAAGCTAGATGGAAGAAGGCAAACACCATAAATTAGTCCGACATTAAAATGTGTGAAATGCAGTACAGTTCATGAATACATTATCTAGCTGCACCTTGAAACAATGCCACGATTGCCAGCAAGGATTTGTCAATAATCAGTTTTACTAAACTGTTTTTTTAAAATAACCCTTTAAATAGATTGTGGTAGTATTTAGACATGATATGCATTGAGTCAGTAAAACATAAAAAATGGAAAAAATACCCCATGACATTCTCATTAGCAAACTATTCAATGCAGGGTGGATGGCATGACACCTACATAGATACATAGATGGTTAATTTTTTTTAAAAAAAAAAACTATTTACTAATACCACAAGGAATTCCTACTTTCACTTGCCATCTTGCATATGGTTCAATATCAATCTTGAAATGAAGATTTTCTGTTCCTATGTAGTTCTGAAGAGGGATTAAGCATTCAACCACTGTCAGATTCAAAAATGTTGCTTTTGTGATTTCGTGTTCTCTGGCTATCCATTCACCATTGTGATACTACAGGAAATAGAGCAATAAGATGTGAATTAATTATTGCAGATTTAGATATAGAAATACTTCAAATGATCCGTATGAATTTTAGGGTAGATTGTAATTAGAAGTTAAACTGTAAGAAAATTTGTTTAACATTGAACGCCTAGTAGAAATTATAGTAAATAATGGATTTTAACATGATATAATCTGAATAAAATAAATATAATGGAACATGATAATGCAATTCAATAGACTATGTTACATTTGGATATTCTATAGTGCTTCACTTTCATATGGAACAAAAGGCCTACTTTCTGGACATCCATTACAAATCTGACATTAAACTTTTTACAAGAGAAAAAAATATAAAAATAATTTTAAATCCTGTAGAATAATTTTTCAAAAGTATGTTTGAACTGGAGGCCAGGACACACTGAAGCATAAATTGGTTTATGGACAGTGCTGGAGCAGTCCCTTTTAAATTTCTGCAGAATAAAGTATATGTATGATTGATTACAGGAAGATTTTGACTGGGTTATCATTATAAAGAGCCTGTTTGGTGTAGTGGTTAGAAAGTGGGACACCACTTTTGCCTTAGGCATAAAACTAGCTTGGGCCAGTCACTCTTTTGAAAGAACAAAGAAGCACTATTCTCTGACCATAGTTTCATTCTATGTAGTTACCATTATAGGGTTTATCAAACTGTCCCTGTTTAGAGTCTATGTTTACCTTCTAGTATCTTTTCTCATCCTTATCATTTGGCCTTCTAAATGTTTTATAGCTGAGCTGTTGGTTTGGTTTGGGAAAACTGACACCATATAGCTGAGCTAGTAATCTGTTTTCCCTGGGAATACATATTTGGGTTAGCTTGACTCCCTGAGTTCTCCTTCAGTCAGGTGATAAGAAACAAACATGTTTACAGGGCACATATACACTTCAGAAATCTATTTGTCTTCTGGAATGGTAATTAGCAAAGAACGTCATTCCCAAGTCATGAGTAGAGGTAGAGCTATACAGCGACAAACTGTTCCCCAAAGTTCTTGCATGAATAGATCTGGAATATATTTTCACATTTATACAAAAATCCAAAAGGTTAAAGTTATATGACTAGTTACCAAAATCTTCTTTTTAAAATAACCTTTCTGCAAAAGTCTCTGAAGGAATGTAAAACAACTAACGAACTAACTAAAGTGAAGCATTGTACTATATAAATAAATTAATGTTTGAACAATAAAATATAGAACACTTAAAGCATTACATAATTATAAATGGAGGCAATTCCATAATCTGAGAACAAATAAAAGAGAGTCTTTCCCTGTATTTGAGGGACACAACTACGTGAACATGATGTTCTTAAGAGGGCAGATCTAAGAGAAGAAACTGTAAAAAAAAAGTCATGATTTTCAACTGATCCTGAAAAAAAGCATTGCACATCTTTCAATATTTTCATAAACAAATATTTTGACAGGAGGACTGACCAATATCTGAGTTGCCTCATTTCAAACTAATCAGTGATTTCAGATACTCTAGAGCAGGGGTCCCCAACCTATAGTCCGTGGCCTGGGACTGGGCTGTGGGCTCTTGGCCAGTGGGCCATTGAAACAGCTGACCAGTGCACGCATTGCCCCCCCACTCATGCTAACACCAGTAGCCCTGTTTGCGAATGGGAATGCTAGTTCAGAGCAGGTATCCACAGCCTGTTTGTGCATGCGTCACTAGCCCGGGGGGCTTGCGTGGCCCATTTGTGCATGCACAAATGGGCTGCTAGCTGCTGTGGGGTGTGCGGCCATTCATGCATGTGCACGGCACCAGTGCATGCTGCATGCATGAACAGGGCTGCTAGTGCCATGCTAATGTGTGTGGCTCTGTTCGTGCACACATGTGCGTGTGCACCAATTTTGAAGCTGCTCTCTTTCTCTGTGGTCCTCGAACCCGGAAAGGTTGGAGACCTCTTCTCTAGAGCTCAATTCAAAATACACTGTAAAACAAAAGTTTAAATAAGGCATGGCCAAGACATGGCCAACTGTTGCCAAATAGAGGACAGTTGACAAATGGTCTGCTTCATGTAATTATGTTTGTGCCGGCATCATCAGGGCTTAAAACGCCAGAGAGTGAGAGAGTCTTTTATAAGCAAGCCCGAGTCTGCGCCCGGCTCCTTGATCTCGTTATCGGACCTAATTGGATAGATTGTGCTCCGGTGATCCGTTTCTTCCTGCACCCCTTATCTACGTGTGTGTCCTCATTTGTCTTCTTTTCCTTGGATTCTAGGGTGGGTGGGGCAACCTCCCTATCCCCCTGGTTGCCCCCCTCCTTTGATCCATTCTCTCCCTCAGGTTTGTGTGGTGGTTTGCATTTCTCTTTCCTCTTTTTCCAATCCACATCCATGCAGCTATTCTCTCTACGAGTGCTTTCACTTTCTTCCCTAATGCCTCCCCCTCGTACCCAGTTGTTACTGAAATGTTACACATGACCATTTCAGTAACAACTGGGTACGAGGGGGAGGCATTAGGGAAGAAAGTGAAAGCACTCGTAGAGAGAATAGCTGCATGGATGTGGATTGGAAAAAGAGGAAAGAGAAATGCAAACCACCACACAAACCTGAGGGAGAGAATGGATCAAAGGAGGGGGGCAACCAGGGGGATAGGGAGGTTGCCCCACCCACCCTAGAATCCAAGGAAAAGAAGACAAATGAGGACACACACGTAGATAAGGGGTGCAGGAAGAAACGGATCACCGGAGCACAATCTATCCAATTAGGTCCGATAACGAGATCGAGGAGCCGGGCGCAGACTCGGGCTTGCTTATAAAAGACTCTCTCACTCTCTGGCGTTTTAAGCCCTGATGATGCCGGCAGGTGACTGTGAAAGCTTGGCGTTTTTAAATTAAACTTTTATAGTTTTAACTACCTTGGTGCTCATTTTATTTTAAACATGAATATACCATACATACATACATACATACATACATACATACATACATACATACATATATACACACACACACACACAGAACTATAATTCTTATAGGAAAGATTGTTCTTTCATGTTTTTCCTGTAACCATGGTCTGGGAACAGTCAGATATGATGGATAACAACTACTGAAAATGTGCTTGATAAAATGTTTTGAGAATATTTTTGTTACTAGATCCTTAAGGCTTGATTCCATCTGATAATATTTGAAAGAATGTTGTTATGGGGGAAATGTTCTCTCTAGCACCATCTCCATAAAAGTTGCTGGTGTTACATTAATGTAACTCTAAGTGTTCACACCTTTCGATACGTGGGGATCCAGCCTTGCCCCATTGAAATGCATGAAAAAAGACAATGATATTTACAGCTATCTGTATGCCAGATAAATATTTTGTACTTTTGTTTGTAATTCAGGAGGATACATGCTAGTTTCCACGGATGCTTCATGAAATGTTCTTCTAGTTTCACTGAAAAAATTCCTGACAAGATTTATATAGTTTTGAAATTGTATGACTGAAAAGCTCTCATTCATGTACTTCTTAGCCATAGATTTCTTTTCACTCAGATAATACAAAGTGTTAGAAAACTTTGTATTATCTAAGGTGATGTATAGTAATATTAATAATCCTTCAATTCAGATGAAGACCATAGCTGTGTATCAAGAAATTTGGTTAGTTAGCTGTGACACTTAAAATTCAAGTGTCTTTGGAAATAATACAGTCATGCGTACAGATTCCAGATGCAGAAAATTGAGAAGTAATAATAATGTGATTTCAGGCTTCAGTGAACTATAGTAAAGTGGGATAAAAGCCCACAGAAAAATGGAAGACACTGCATGGTTTTGATTTACTTATAAGCTAATCTCTGAAGTGCTCTGGCACCAAGTGTATAAAATGTGCGTGTCAGAAAGAGAACTTTTTACTTTTAGAACCAATAATTTTAGCCAATATCTATACATATCTATGCAGGACGATAAACCAATCAATAGAACGAGGAATGTAAAAGAAATCTATCACAGATTTCTTTTAGATGTAATTACCATAATCCACTAGTGCAGAGGTGTCAAACTGCCGGCCCATGGGCTGGTTGCATCATACGGAGGCCGTGCCCACCCCAGCTCCGGCAATGTGAAAAAAGTTGCGATACATCGCGACACGTCATGTGACGTGGCAAGTTTGATACCCGTGCACTAAATTCCACCACAGCACATCACCAGTAATTAATGGAGTTTGCTGCCAGTTGTTGCCATCTAGAAAAGTTTGTTCTGCTTTACTTCCATTGTTTCAATTCATAAAATGCAAGTATTCTTGATTTTGTACAGTGTTTGGAAATAGGACTGGGAAAACAGCACATTTATTTTTATCCCACCTTTATTATTTTTATAAATAACTCAAGGCGGTGAACCTATCCAATACTTCTTCCTCCTCCTATTTTCCCCACAACAACCAGTGACTCATGTATTAAGCTAAGGGAAAATGACTGGCCCAAGGTCATTCAGCTTTCATTCCTAACGCAGGCCTAGATCTCACAATCTTCTGGTTTCTAGCCTTGTGCCAAGGTTAGACCAAACTGGCTCTCTTGCTCTGTAATATGTGGCTTTACTTTCAAAAACATGCTATAGACATATTTATCCCAAAATAAAATAACTCTGGATTTAAGATTATTCCCAGTCCCAGCACCCAAAGAAAAAGTAGCTAAAATTTATAAACATTGAAAAAATTCTTTGTATTGCTTAATTTTCATACTTTATCAATCTAAGGCTGCCAAAACTAACCTTGGATATAGATTCTCAGTCCCAACAATCAAAGCAGGATCAAAATATATCATCTATGAATTAATAATTGTAAATAAAATTGAATTGGTTGATAATAAGGTATTTCATTTATCAAATTCCGAATAGATATCAAGATACATACATACACATCTTCCCTTCTTTCCTAAACAGAAGCTGGGAAAAGAAAGGGAAGGCTGGAAATGGAGAAGAAAGAAAATACAACTCACTTGGAAAGGGAAGAGAAAGAAAAAAAGGAAACCAACCTAAATAGAGATGAGGAGAAGGGAATAAGTAACTTGAAAGAAAGTCCTGATTAAAAATTAATGCCCCCCAAAAATAAATTCATCAGTATCTCCCAAATAATTAATAATCACCAGCTAATCTTCAAAGACATATACTGTATTTTGATGCCTGCACACATTCACTGTCAATCTTCTTCCCAGATAAAATAAGAAAACTCTACATTCCTACATCTGCCACTCAAAAGTATTTATTTGGAGGAAAACAATCTTTCTATTTGATAACCATTCAATTACCTAGCTAAACTTTCTTGAAACTGAATATTTTATCAGTCATGACCTCTCTTTCTCATAGAGTTTATTGAATGCAAGAAGCTTTCTAATAAATATTTCATTCTTTTCGTGGTCTCCTATTAAACTACTTACAGTCAGTCTGGTGATTTCACAGTGAAGATCAGGAGAGTCATTAAAGCCAACTCCATACACTTGGATGTTGTTACAGTTGGAAAATCTTAAATCGCAGAAGCCACCATTGAGTAGACTGGTAATCTCCACAGAGTGCTCTGGTATGGAAATAAACATGTGATAATCAACTATTTATTTATTTGTATTTAGTTATGTGCTGTATTTACTACACTATTTGATCAGCTTTCTGGTCGGTCACAATTCAAATCAAGTAACAAATAAAAACAGAGACAGAGGAAACAAAACTATGGTGTCCCAAATATTAACTGTGTAAAACCTGAATGGCTGTTCAGAATAATTGTTATAGCTAACTTAAGCTCACGCTCACGTTTAAGCTCATGCTTAAATGGACTCCAGAAGATGGTAGAGGACAGGAAGGCCTGGAGGAACGTTGTCCATGGGATCACAATAGGTCGGACGCGACTTTGCAACTAACAACAACAACAACATAGCTAACTTGTGAAAAGATAAAAGGAAGGGTAAACCATGAAGGGAAAGTATTCCAAAGCATGGAGACCGCTCCAGAGAAGAACTGTTTTGGGGTCCATACATTTTAGTATTCATGCAAGGATAGGATTCCTAGCAACTGCTCTTCATATGAGAAGATGAACCAGGTAGCTTTCATCTAGAGAAGAAGGCTTCTAAGATATTATAGCTTTCCATTTCAACCAGGATTTTGAAATGGACCCAGAAGCTTATTGATAACCATTGCAATGATCAAAGGATAGGATAACATTAAAATATTGATTCTACCTATTAGTAACCTATCCACTGCATTTTGTAGCAATTGAAGCTTCCAAATCACATTCCAAGGCAATCCCAAGTAGAGTGTGTTACAGAACTTTAGTCATGGGATGAAATGCGCTTGAGTCATTGTTGCCAAGGTTATCCTACTCCAAGTATATTTGCAACTAGCACATCAATGTCAGCCAAGCAAAGACTCTTCTGGCCACCACTTCCACTATTGTTTAGCAAGAGCCACAAATGCATCAGGACCCTCTAGTAATTGCAGATCAGCTCCTTTAAGAGAGTGATTCTATCTAGAGTTAATATTTGTGTACAAGTACAGTAGATTTAAGCTTTTATTTTATATTAAAAACTTTTATGTACAAACTTTACTTGTGGGTTCTTGTTGCCTTCCTATGTCAAAAAATTAAATTAAATTAACAATTTCCAAGAAAAGGCAATAGGAAAAACAGACATTGAAAACACAGATTGACATTGTTCTTACATTTTATGTAGCAACTGAAACAGTGGTGGGATTCAAATACCTGAATATCCGATTCTCTGTGTGGATGCAGACCTGGGCCTCCGAGGCCTAGAATGGACTTCTGGAAGTGACATCAACGCACTTCCGGTGGCCGTTCTAAGCCTGGGACATCTCCTCCAGGCCTCCAAGGCCTAGAATGGACTTCCAGAAGCAGCATGGGTTCAGCCGGTTCTCTGAACTCAACAAAATGTAGCTACCAGTTTTATCGAACCAGTGCGAACCGGCTGAATCCCACCATTGAACTGAAGCCATCTGCTCAGGAAAGTGTTTCTCATTACAGTGCGTGTTGTTAAACTCATAAGATTATCTCATTCAAGGCTGATAAGAGACTAATGAAAATACTTTTTATATTTGATCTGTTCAATGGTCTTGCCAATACAGTGGTTCCATAAGTATATAAATGTGGGATAATGTGTCTAAACACTAGACTATATTTATATTTCTGGAAATATTCCTTGATAGTTACTTCATGAACTATCCATTTTAACTTTATGGAGTTCCTTGCAAATTATCACATTAGCAAAATCTGTGAAAATTCTGCCAAGAAACACCATTCTGCTCAGTGTGCAAAGTTGTATTATTCTGATGTCTCATCAGTCTGTAGCAAATAAGCATGGCATAAAAACCAGATTGGTCTAGTGGTTAAGTCACCAGACTAGAAGGCAGGAAACTATGATTTCTAGTCCTGCCTTATGCAGAAAACCAGCTGGGTGACTTTGGGCCAGTCAGTCTCTCTCAGCCCAACCCACCTCACAGGGTTGTTGTTGTGGGGGAGATAGGAGGGAGGAGTATTAGGTATGTTCTCCACCAACTATCTGTAGCATATGAGATCCAGTTGTATAGTTTTCAAATTATTACAAAAATGTCTTACAAAATGGACAATGCCACATGAAAAAGTTAACCAAGCACAGGTCAAAAACAACATAAAACATGTAAAAATCTTTGATCTTTTTTCTTCTTATAAGAATTGTACAGCTCTTAAGCAGTATTTCTATATCAGCTTTTCTGCAAATCACCCCAAGTACTTTCTATGGAAAAGATTCTAACTTCAGTCACAAGAATTATCCTAAAGAGCAAGGCAAGTTCTTTTTCTGATATCTTGAAAATCTGCTGCTTATACAATTCTATAGACAATATTGGCTATACAAGCAGATGACTTTAGTTTTATATAGTATAAAGACAATTACATACTTTTGTAACCGATACCCACATCCAGCTAAGTAATTATTAAAGCAGCTACTATACTTTTATGCCCGCCACATAAGTAGGAACAAAGCTCCCACATTTATCATTAGTGTGATCTATCACTGGGAATTTAGGGGATCTAATGCAAACTTCCAATTGTGTGAGAATGGGTTCCTTGCCATCAGATATATTTTGCAGACCTGAGGGGTAAAAGGTCTTTTGCGTTTTCGTTGTTATAGCTAAGTCTTGCAGTATTTTGTTTGTATATATTCATTTGTATTTCCCTTCTTTATCTCTTCCATCTCTGAATCCATTTCCTCTGTTTCGACTTCAGATTTCTGGATTATTTGCTCATACTTTGTGGTTGTTATCTGGGAGCTTTCTAGTTGTAGATTTAATTTGGAGATTTGCTTGCTTATATTGTCTAAATTGTTTTTAGTCTCATTATGATTTCTTTTTATGTCCTCTTTGCATTCAACAATTGTTTGATGAATTAGTTGTAGCATAGAATAAATTTATTTCTGAAAAGTGTTTGTTTTTTCTTGAGGCATCATTCCTGGAGATTAGTTTTCTGGTCTTTAAATGTATCCTTTATAATCCAATAGATTCCAAAGTATAGGTTCAGTTCTGAAAGCAATATTTTATAGTAATCCCTTGTCTCAAGTATCCAAAAATTGTCAATCAGGTAAGATTGTAATCCACAATGTTCAAAATATTCAAATGTTCAACCTCTCTGAAAACAGCTCAAAAGTCTCTCCCAGCCTGGTGTAGTCCAAGGTAATTTTTTTCTTTCTTTCCCACTAGCTCCTGAAGTTAAAAATCCAAGCTCAGTGGGTATTTATAATCCAAGAAGGTCAGGATGATAAGTATGCCAAAATATTTTCTTTTATTGCCAGCTGTTCTCCCAAGGTAGGAATCACCAAGCAAAACAAATTATGATGCTATACAAAAATCCACCACTAGATGTCATTCAAAGTATATTTTCCACTCTTAAAACAAAGGATTGATTTCTTATACTTTGCCTCAATGATTTTTTTCCAGAGAGAAAATCTTAAGTTATCTCAGTTTTCAAATTTATTGAAACTGTAGCTTCATATTACTTCCACTTCAATATTGTATGTTTCTGTCCCCCATAAAATTAAAACACCGCTTCCGTTTACATTCGGAGGTTTTTAGCTTCTTGGGAGCCTTTCCCAGGAAATTCAGTTGTAAAATAGTAAAAACAGGATCAATATTCTCACCCAGATCCAAACATGTTGTTTACGATGTCTTAGGTAGTGCTTTTTTTCTTTTTCGGTAGTCAGCAGCTAATTGGCCAGCCACAGGAATGTAGCCAGTCTTTCCACTGCCAATTTGGAGGGCTTTCCTTGGACTGGACGGAAAGACCGCCATTTCTCCATGATCAACAAGGCATCCTTCCTCTTCATCGCCTCTTTAGGGCAATTTTAGGCCCTTTTCAGGGCCCCCACCAGGGCAAAATTGGGCATGGAAGGCAGAGCCCTGCCTTCCTGCATCCCATTCTGCTGCAGCGCAAACCAGAAGTCCTCCTGTGAGGATGGCTTAAAATGTTGGATATATGGAGTGTAATTTGTTTTATTGAATAATAACAATAAATATGGATCTGCAAGCACTGAATTAGGGTATGAAATAGTCTATTGAATCATAACACTTTATTGCATTCAGAAAATTACTAATGTATGAGATATTTAATTGATCATGAATTGCTTTGTTCCAGAACATTATTTTATTCTATCATATAGCTTTCAAATTACTACAATAACATTGCTTTGAACTAACTGTGATTCTTTTTCTTTTCCTTTTCTAAGAAGCAGAGAAATTGAAATTGGAAGCAAGCATGGGGGAATGCCCAAATTTCCTTTCCCAGACTATAAAATCAACCTGTAATTTGCTGCTACCTTTGGAGTCATTTTGTACTTTTAGTTATTTCTTTATCAAGTCTGAAACTGCCCATCGCCCTCACAGAGAAATTCTGTAATTATGCAACAACTTGGCTGTTGCAAGCAGACAAAATCATACTACATACTGATTTGAGCCAAAGCATAAATAAGTGTCTAAGGCAGAACCCCGGGGGGAGGAGACAATCACTAGCTAATAGCATAAAAAGGATTAAAGGAAGAATCCCAACAACTATTGAATAGAAAGCATCCTGTATCCTTTGCCCTAACTCAGACACTTGTATCTGATAAAGCAATATTTGTAAAGTGATACTAAGATAAATAGATTTCTGAAAAATGACTAAAACAGGGGTGTCAAACGTGGAAGCTGCGCCCACCCCATTGCCGGCAATGGCAAAACAGTCCCAATATGTTGCGTGACGTCGTGAGTTTGACATGTCTGGACTAAAACAAACTGAAAAAAAAATCACTACACAAATATTCCATATCATGGGAGTATGATTTTACCTTTATAAATCTAGTTCATGAATATATACATTGATGAAGATGTTTGACATAAGAATATTTTTATGATTTGGGAGAAAATATCTTTATCATAAATTGTTGTTAAATAACTATGAAACATGAGGCATGAACTGAAATATTAAAATAATGCTGAAATCAGTTCAGTTATTCAAAATAGATAGCTCTTCCTTTCTTAGGGTTGGATCACATAGCGTTAAAAAAA